GCTTGAGACATGCTTCACTTTCCTCACCCGAGGACATTCGGACACGCTATACCCTCTGTTGGAAGCACCACACTGTTGTGCTGAGCTAACTCGCACTGATTTCTCAGTTCTGAGATGAAATGAGTCCTTATGACTGCACATCCGGGGCCTCCCTGGTGGCGCAAGGGGTTAAGGCCCGCACTGTGAAGCAATTCGCGGCCTCTGCAGTACGAGTTCGATCCCTAGCTCCCCAGGGAGCAACCCACATGGCGCAGCAGACCTCTCCTGTCTTGCCCGCTGCTCCCCTCAGCTGTGTGTTTCAGTCAGTCTACCTGTTCTGTTCCCCACTCTGTCTCTGGTGAATCCTCTCACCCCCCACATCTCTGGCCTGTACCCCAGCTCTTGTATGCATAAATAAATAAATCTTAAAAAAAAAAAAAAAAGAATGCACATCCCTGGGAACCTACTTACTCCAAACAAGACAGACTCTCCATTAGTGTGTACTGTACATTCCCCACCTTTGCCAACAGCCTTCATCAGAGTCATCATGACTGTAGAGCTAGTTTTGTTTCTTACAAGTGTCTCTCTTTCCCTCCCAACAGAGAGCCAGCTCCATGCTGGTTCACTGTAGATTCCAAGTGCTAACACTGTCTTGCGCTCAGTAGGGCAACCAGTTCTCTGCTAGGCTTACTGGGTGTCAGCTGCTGGCCGTGGAGAGAGAGATGCCAGGCAACTCACTTCTTGCCCCAGGGGTGGTGGACTCAAGAGGCCAGTGTTGGCTTGGTGTGTGACCCCTGAGGGTCCCATCTGGGTTGGGGTGTGCATGGTGAAATGATATTTAAAAACACAACTTGCTTTAGTTTTTATATCCATGTTGCCCTCATCCTCTAACAAAATACCATGAAGTGGGCAACTTAAGCAACATACATTATCTTTATCAGTCCATGATCTAAACAACAGTGCTAACCAGCCTATTCAACATGCATTTATTTCTCACAGTTCTGGCAACTGGCACATCCAGGACCAAGGTGCTAGGTGCTTTTGCTCCTGGTGAGGACTTTCTTTCTCCCTTGCAGACAGCCATCTTTCAATGTCCTCACACAGTGGGAGGAGAGGGAGAACACAAGTAGTTTGAGTCTGATGATGTTTCTGCCTAAAGGGCACTAATCCCATTATGGGGCCCCAGCCTCTTGACTTTATCTAACCTAATAACATCCAAAGGCCCCACCTTCAAATACCATCACATTGTGGGTTTGGACTTCAGCATATGATTATCAGGGGAGACATAATCGGCACATAACCAGGCTGTTTGTCCCTTGTCCTGCCGCCATTGGGGTCAGGGTGTACACGTGACTAGGTTGTCCAGCATCTGCACATAGCTGCCCTGGACAGTGTTCTGCTAAACTGAAAACTTGTGGTTGGAGTCAGTTGGGGGTTTGTGCTTGCTGCCATGGCCATGCAAAAGGGTTTTCCTGATCCTCTGCATACGAGCATCCCTGGGATCTAAGGCCCAGTGGTGCCACCCAGTCCCAGTAAACCTACAAGCCAGCCCCCAACTATCCTGCCCACAGTCCCTGGATCCCCCAGACTTGAGTGGGGGCTGGATTCACTTTAATCTCTCTGAAGCCACCCACCCCTTCTTGATGTGAACCTGTCTCCTAAGGTCTCAGACAGTAGGTTCAAGCTCTCTCTGCTTTTGTCTTCTCCCCAAATATCAGGGCTGTCTTTATCCTCAGTAGGGATGGAGAGGAAAAATCCCCCTGCCCCTCTGGATTCTTCTCATGCTATTCAGCAATCAAATTAAGATTGGACAGATTACTAGGAGAAAAGAATAAATTAGTTACATCCATGTAAAGGATTGACATGGGTATAAATTCTAAAGTAAATGGGACAAAACAGGGCATTTATACTGAGTCAAGGAATGGGATGGGGTCCTGGGATTTCAAAGGGAAAGGAGGGGATCTCACCTGAGAAGGGGAGCTCATGACAAGAAACAGTTGCTCTGTAATTACTTGTTTGCCATGCCATATGGATAGGTTTCTCTGCTAGAAGGGCTATTTCTGGAGATAATCTGGGTAATCTTTCAATTTTCCTAGGTAGTTAAAGGAGTAGTAAAAAGTTTCTCTTGGGTGTGCAGGACTTCAATTAACCTCAGCTGGAAATGCGCATACCAGAGTGGTGGTCCTGGGAAGGCCTGTTTAGATATGTTGGGGAGTCCTGACCTTACATCTCAGCCCTGACCCGCCCTTGAGGCATGAGCAGGGGTCAGAGGTGAAGGGAGTAAAGTGAAAACAGCCTGGCACCCTGGCCATTCTCTCCCGCTCCTCTGTTCCACCCCCTCCAGCTGCCACAGCCTCCTGGTGTCTTTGCCGTCTTTACTTCTAGGCCTCGACTTTCATTCAAACTCCATGAACCAAATTGGTCAGGCTTTGCTAGTGAGACTCAAAGTGATACTTTGAAGACAAAAACAAACAACCCCCTGCTGTCTGGAAAAAAGCTGACTTTTAGGACTATTGTCTCACTGTGGATTAAAGAATCTAGTTTGACCCTTGCAGCTGTGCAAGGATGTTTATATTTCAGGGGTGTGCACCCCACCTCGTGACCTCACAGGGGGTGTGGGCCAATATGATTTACCAGCACTGACAAATGCAACACCACACCATTGACCATAAGTGGAGTTTAGTCCTCACAAAGCTTTATGAGTTGTTACCCTGACTGACAGGAAACGGCCCGGTTTCAAGCAGTGGCCTCCCCAGCTTCACCTTGTCAGTTGCTGATGGACAGGTAGGCCTGCCGGCACCTGGTAGCTATCAGGGGCAGGTGTGAGGCACTGACCCGCCACCTCAGACATTTGTTCCCTGAGTCACCGCACCCTAAGGTGCCCCTGTGTGTCTGATCAGTTGCCCCTTCCCTGTCGGAAGTCAGATTGCCACAGGGAACCAAATGATAATCAAAAGTTAGGTCTGCTGGGCAGGAGGCTCCTAGCAGGAGCCAATTGTAGGGCTGGATGGTGGCCTCAGCCTAGCCTGCCACGAGCATTAGCTCTGGCCTCCCAGTGGTGACATCTCAATACACAGCGGTGGTGACAGCAGCCACTTGTCTCACATCCCCGGAGTGTCTGCCCACGCCCCGTCCCTCACAGCTTGATTTTCCTTGCTAACTCAGATTTCTGGGGGTGGGGGTGTTCTACTACTGGTTATAGGTAGCAATGACTTGCTTAGACAAAGACTGTACAAGTTAGGGTTTATCTCAATGCTGGGCTGAGATGGTAGTGTGAGCTCTAGAAGGGGCCCTTGGCCCCATGTGCCCCCACAAAGGACCTGACTAGTAGCCTCTGGGCTTGTCTACACATAGTGAGGGGTCCCTGGCTTGTTGCCACCTCTCCACTCCACTGAGTGAGGTACATCCTGGGTGAGGTGCATCCTGGGTGCCTGCTGTGTGTTGTTGTGTCCTGGGTGCTGGGTTTACATCCAGGGAAAAGACAAGTGACCAAGTAGGGGGCACAGAGAGCTCAAAAAGTGATGGACACTGGTGGTTGCTGGGGAGCAGACCAGACCTGGGGAGGCCCCTCTGGCAGGAAGTGACCACTAGGCTGGGTCTCCAGGAGAGGTAGGGTTTGGTCAGTTAGTGAAGGAGGAGGGGCCCGAGGAGGGGGAAGGGAGAAAGTATGAGGGCGGGCTAAGCAGGAAATAAGACTGACAGCTCTGAGCCCCTTGATAACCTGACTGCAGTTTCTAAAAGGCCAAGCTGGCTACGCTGAGGGAGTGGAAGCCTCCTTTTCCTTTTTATTGACTCCTTTGACATGTGGTGAAGCCCATAGGTAGCAGCTGAGAATAATTCCTTTAAATGTAAGAAATAAAATACATGAGTATAAAAGGATGATTTTAAAAAAAAGAAGTTAATTATATGTGCTCAGAAATGGGAGACAGAAAATACCTTTGTAACATCGTAATATCTATGTGACATATTATTAGTAATTTAATTAACATTAAAAATTAAATCTGGTTGAAGGTCTAAAACAACCCCTCCTTCCAAATCTTCATGAGCATAAATAACTTTTCACAACCACCACTTGCTGCTGTGGAGTGATTTTGTTACAGGGCAGCAAGGGGCACTAAAACTGGCCAAGGACACTGCCCAAATAGTTTACCAGTCACTGTCTGAGTCCTTTACCCATGCTCACAATTGCAAGACTACTCAGGGATTTGTGTAACAAACCGGGAAAAGACAAAGTGTTACTGAGGCCAAAAATGGCTTTACCTCACTGGAAGCAGTGTTTTCAAATCCAGTGTTTTCAAGTCCTAAACAAAAACAGTCAAGATGGCGTCTTCCCACCACTGAGGACCAGAGCTCCTCTCCCGAACAAGAGGTCACGTGCCCAAGATGGCATCTTTCAGCCTGGAGGCTTCCACCTTCAGAGGCCTACAACAGCCTTCTGGAAGATCTGCATGGTGGAGGCCGAAATCACAGACCCCAGAATCACTGAAGATCCAAAAACACTGAATCCAGAAAACTGAATAATTCACTGCTGCTTCTGCAGTCCCTTATATTTCTTATCAGTCTCCCCATCCCCAAATGCCATACTTTTTAGCATTTTCCCTGGGGCTATCTTTCCTCACCAGCAACCCCCTCCAGGGGGCACCACCGGTAACAGTCTTTGGCTTCAGCATGGGTTACAATTTCTGCCACCATGTCCATGATGCTGGGATGTCTCACCTCTGTTCCTCCTTGACAAAAGGCCATGTTGCAGCTGGAGGGTAAAGCAAAGAGATGGGCCAGTGTCCCTGTCCAAGCTCAGTCTCCAGATGGGGGACCCCTGCACTGGTGGGAGGAGGGCTCTAGGAGGGGGTGATAATAATGCAGGAGGTGGTGGCAGCAAAGGGGCCAAACAGACAGAGGGAAAGAGTAGATGGATTCAAAGTTGGGAGTGAATCCTGCCTATAAATGTAAGAAAGGAAGGAATGAAGGTGAAGTGTCCCAGGCTCCTGTATCGGGCTGACATCTCCTTGGTTGTCTTTCAGGTCAATGAAATCTATCATGATGAGTCCCTGGGGGCCCACATTAATGTCGTCCTGGTGCGAATAATCTTGCTGAGCCACTCGAAGGTGAGTGAGTGTGGAGGGCTGGCTGTTGTCCTCAAATGCCTTCCGGACACATCAGGACCCCCACCTGCTGTGGGATGAATGGGCCCCTCTGGCGAGGCAGAGCCTCCTTTGGAAGTATTGATGTCTGCCCAACTGCCCCCTCTCCCTGGCTGCCCTGCAGGTCCTCTAAGAAACAAGCAACTATGAGCCTCCTCCATTTTCCTGCTCTCGTTTCACCTTCACCCAGTGTTTTCAAGCAGGTTCTGTTTTTATTCCGGGTGTGCTCAGGCCAAAAGGTCAGGAGGTCACCGCCACAGGAAAGGGGCTATCACTCACAGCCCCGGCGGGGCATGGCCACACAGGGAAGCAGGGGGGACCCTGGGCAAGAACCTGGGTTGTCGCTTCTGTCGGAAGGAATGGGCAGTGCAGGGAAGCAGGTTAGGCTGTCCCTAACTATCTGTTCATCTGGCCCTGCGGTGAATGGCCCTGGGCTACGAGAACTGACTGGAGTGGGTGTCTGGGGCCTGGGGCCCAGACTGAGTTGGTTTGCATTTGGAAAGCATGTTCCAGGTTAAGTCCTGTGCTACCGCTGAGAATGGGCTATCCCTGGGAGGGTCAGTCCCTTCAGGATCAGCAAGGGCCCCATGTCAAAGCATCAGAAACACAGTTATTCCACCTCTCACTTCCTCTCCCTTGTCTTCCCTTGTCCACCTCTTCTCATGGGTCAAACACGGGGCTATCTTTGCTAGCAGCACGCATGAGTCTACACAACAGAGATAGGAAGCCCCAACAGCCAATTACCTGAAATGGAAAGATGAGGGGGCGTTGTACAAAGAGACACGATGAGGAAGAAAGTCTCCTGGGTGCCCTCCAGCGTGGACTGGGCACCGTGTGTGTATTAATTTACTTCACCCAAGGATAATTGGTGAGGAAGGACTATGGCGATCCCCGTTTCACAAACACCAACGCTGAACGTGGTTCAGTGGTGGTCCTGGGAAGTGGGCAGCGTCATTTGCCTCTTGGGAAGTTGAGCTTCCCACCCTGGCAGCCAATTTCTAGAGTCCATGGGCTGACCTTGTTGCCGGTTCTTGAGTTCTCCAAGAAATAGAAATAATGCAGATTCTAATCCTGTCGGTACCAAGTACGACTTTATTAAAGCTTATGCAGTTCAGCATAAGAGAGCACCAGGAACGGGGGCGATGTGCTGCTCCCCAAAAATGGGTGGAGGTTCTTTATAAGCAGTTTAATCCTGCACAGTTAGAGGGCTAGAGTCCTCTCTTTGCTCTTCTTTCCATAAAGTCATTCCATCTCTCAAACTCATGATCTCCTGGTGTCTGTGAGCTTTATCTAAAGTATGTATTGGGGAAGTAAGTGCTCCTTCCTGGAGAGAGGGATGGCCGCTGTCAGAGAATGGATAGGTGACCTTGCCTCGCATCTTCGGTGGGAAAATGCTGCTTTTTACCTTGTAGTGACTCAGTCGGCCTCAGCCTGAGTTAATTTCCAGTATCATGGAGCTTGCTGAGACCTGCCGACCCTCTTTCTTGTCTTGCACAACCTCACTCAGGGTGTAGCAAATGAAACCATCATAATATCAGCATATCAGGTGTGGCAACTATGTAAGGGGCTAACTCCTTCCTCCAGTACCCATGATACTGAGACTTCCTTCCTTCCTTCCTTCCTTCCTTCCTTCCTTCCTTCCTTCCTTCCTTCCTTCCTTCCTTCCTTCCTTCCTTCCTTCCTTCCTTCCTTCCTTCCCTCCCTCCCTCCCTCCCTCCCTCCCTCCCTCCCTCCCTCCCTCCCTCCCTCCTTCCTTTTTGAAAGATTTATTTATTTATATACGAACAGGCCAGAAGTGAGGGAGGGTGAGAGGATTCACCAGAGCCAGAGCGGAGACCAGAACAGGCAGACTGACAAAATACACTGCTGAGGGGAGCAGCGGGCAAGACAGGTCTGCCTCGCCATGTGGGTATCTCTGTGGCTGGCGAGGATTGAACCGGCACTGCAGAGGCTGCAGACAGCTTCACAGCACTGCGCTCAACCGCCTGTGCTCAGGGAGACCCGATGCTGGGACGCTTTCAAAGCTGAATTCAAAAAATGTGCAAAATACCGTAAGTTCTGTAACCATAGAGGGAACTGAAGTTCTTCATCATTTTCAAAGTTATTTTAAAATTACCTCTAAACAGTCATCTATTTTTGAAAGTGCATTCTTATTCATTTGCAAGGAATTACTAAACAAGGATAATACAATGTCCTATAAACTGTTTCAGAATATGAACATATATTCTGAAGTGCACCCAATTCATTTTTTATAGCCAGTGTAATTCTTATACTCAGAGCTGCCCAAGGTAGCATGTCCTAGACAAAGTACAATCCGATCTCACTACTAAAAATAGATGTAAAAATCCAAAGGCCTGAAGAGTTTAATTCAATTATGAATAAAGAGAAACTCCCACCACGAAAAAGTAGGGTTTATCCTAGGAATGCTGCCTCTGTGTAGTGTCAGGAAGTCTATTCGTTTAATTCATCCCTTTGGTGTGCCTAGTGGCAGAGCTCAGCATCTAACATACTCCTCTCCAAAGGTTCCTGTGTGCCTGGTCCCTGACCTCAGGGGCTTCCCTGGAAAGAAGACAGACAAGAGAACAATCTGTGTCCCAGTGAGCTCTGTGGGGAAGATCCGGAGGGCAAGGCAGTCCTTATTTATGCTGTCTGGGCGAAAACTGGAGGAAGTAACCTTTCAGCTTCAGGGGGGAGTGACGGGAGACGAACCGGCATCAGGTTGCTGCACGTTCACAGGCTGGAAGGGAAGAGAGCAGGATGGACTTGCTGGAGAGTCACTGAGTCTATGCCTTGGGCAGCTGGCCAGGGACACTGACCCCTCAGATGGAGCACCCAGGAGAAGGAGTGTGTGGGGAGCGAGGCAATGAGCCGAGGTGTGACATGCTGAGGTTGAGTGTTTGAGGCCATCCATCCCAGTGGAGATGGCCAGCGGGAGGTGTCTGGAGAGAGGAAAGTGGTGTTTGCAAGGTGTGGGCGGGGTGCACAGGGAAGCATGCAGAGTAGGGGGCTCCAGAGAAGGAGCCCTTGGAGCTCCTGACGCTGTGGGTACAGTCAGGGCAAGGGATGTGATCTGCTCCACAGTTGCTAAGAAGGTATCTCCTGGTTTTTAATAATCTGTGAAAACCAGTAGCAGATGGTAACATGACAACCAAAATTTTATTTAAAGGTGGAGAAAGAAGCACATGTCCCCTAAAAGCATTCTGCATAGCTAATTCTTAAGATGTTCATAGATGTCTACAAAGGAAAATAAAGAGGTTTCATGGTCAAATAAGTCTGGGAATGCTTGTGAAATGAAGTAAAACAGGCAGGCCTGACAAGCTTAATTTCTCAGAGACTATGGAAATGTAGATGGTGAATTGGCAAGAGTTGGATCACTGTGCTCAGTTACTCAAACCCATTTCTCAATAGAACCTTTTTCCTCACGTAACCAACCTTCTGCAGAACTTGCTTTGGAAATGCTGCCCTCTGTGAGATAGTCACAGTAAAATTGGAAACAGGAAAGAGAAACTTAACTTTGTTACCAAAGTTCTGGAAATTCTAGACAATGTTGTATGATAAGAAATTGATATTGAAAAAGTACAGATAAAATTAAATTGTTCTCTGGTAATTATGTGCCTGGAAAACACCAAATAATCCACTGTGAAACTTTTTGAGTTAATAAAATATGTAGTGACGTGGCCAAATATAAGAGAGTAATACAAAAGTCAGTAATTCCTATTTAAACCCATAATGCTCTGGTAGCAGGGATAATAGTGAGTGAAAAATTCTCTTTACAATAGTAACCAAAACTATAATATTCTGGAACAGTCCTAACAAGACAGATGCAATATCTCCAGCAAGAAATTTGCAGATTGCTAATGATTGGAAGAAAATAAAGATTAATGAAGAGACATATATTGTTCCTTGTGAAAAGATTGGATATAGTAGAGATGTGGGTTTTACCCAGACTAATAATTGGAAATTTGATGAAATAATTCTACTACGGTTCATCTAGAATCATAAATAGTTAAGATCAACTGGAAAAGCCTTGAAAGCCAAACAAATAAAAAGGGATTTATTTCAATCATCTCATAAAGTGAAACTAAGTAGAATCATATTCTATTTGCATAAGCATTAACAGATCAGTTGGGTTAAATACAAAGCTCTGTAAATGCCCCTCATCTAGATAGCTTAACATGTGACAAATACAAATAGGTGATTATTAAGTGTTATAAATAACTTTATGATAAATACAAGTTTCATATAAGGTAATTTAAATATAACATGATAAATATAGGCCAATAAAACACTCAACTATTCAAAGCCAACCAATCAAGATAAAAATATTTGGTGTCCAGGGCTTCCTAAGCTTAAATCCCATAGAAGGAATTGTAAATGGGAAGACAGATATATTTAAATACTTAATATATAAAACTTCTCTTGAAAGACCTAATTAAAACACAAATGACAAGCACTAAAAACATTTGCAATGTGGCAAAGACATCATAATAGTTGGACAGTTTTCCTATATCACAGAAAAAAACAGAATTGGCAATGGAAATGACCAGTTAACAGAAGGAAAAATGGAAATGGCCAAAAAGGGAAACATATTTAACTTTGCTACAGGTCGAAGAAATGAAAGTCTGCCATTTTTGTAAGGATTTATTTTATTTATGCATACAAGAGCTGGGGTACAGACCAGAGGTGTGGGGGATGAGAGGAGTCACCAGAGACAGAGTAGAGAGCAAAACAAATGGATCTACTGAAATACACTGCTGAGGGAAACAGCAGGTGAGTCAGGAGAGGTCTGCTGAGGCTTGTGGGGTCAGCTCTTGTCGCAGTGGCTGGAGATAGCTTGATAGCGCTGAGTCTTTAACCCCTGCACCACCAGGGAGGCCCAAAAAGTCTGCTGTTTTTACAGCATCAACTTTGTTAAGAATTAAGAAGGGGAATAATTGCTGATTTGGGTGGCACATCCTGTGGTA